CTGGGCCAGCTCCTCCAGCAGACTGCGGTACTCGGCCATGGCTGGGGACACGGGGACATGGGGACATTGGGGACATGGGGACATGGCTGTGCTGGGCCAGCTCCTCCAGCAGACTGCGGTACTCAGCCATGGCTGGGGACACGGGGACATTGGGGACATTGGGGACATGGGGACATGGCTGTGCTGGGCCAGCTCCTCCAGCAGACTGCGGTACTCGGCCATGGCTGGGGACACGGGGACATTGGGGACATGGGGACATGGCTGTGCTGGGCCAGCTCCTCCAGCAGACTGCGGTACTCGGCCATGGCTGGGGACACGGGGACATGGGGACATTGGGGACACTGGGGACATGGCTGTGCTGGGCCAGCTCCTCCAGCAGACTGCGGTACTCGGCCATGGCTGGGGACACGGGGACATGGGGACATGGCTGTGCTGGGCCAGCTCCTCCAGCAGACTGCGGTACTCGGCCATGGCTGGGGACACGGGGACATCAGGGACATTGGGGACACTGGGGACATGGCCATGGCTGGGGACATCAGGGACATGAGGGACATGAGGGACATGGGGGACATGAGGGACATGGCTGTGGCTGGGGGACAAGCGTGACACAGAGGACATGAGGGACATGGGGGACACAGGACTGGGATGTGGCTGAGGACGGGGGTGACGTGAGGGACATGGGCACAGCTGGGGACAGGGGACACGTGGGACATCAGGGACATTAACACTGGGGACATGGGACTGGGAGAGGGGTGACATGAGGGACAGGGGACACAGTCATGGCTGGGGGACACAGGGTGTGAGGGACAGGGGACACAGCCATGTGTGACAGGAGTGACACGGGACAGAGCCATGTGTGACATGAGTGCTCCTGCTCCCAGCCACAAGTGACAGGGGACAGGGGCTGAGTGTCCCCAGCCTCGATCCCTGGTGTCACAGATGTCCCCAGCCTGTGCCACCAGTGCCAGGTCCAGCCCTGGCCTCTGCCACCTGTGTCACAGATGTCCCCAGCCACAGGTGTCACGAGTGTCCCTGGGCTGTCCCCAGTGCCAGCCTCAGCCTCAGTCCCTGGTGTCACAAATGTCCCCAGACTCATCCACTGGTGCCACAAGTGTCCCCAAGCTCAGCTGCTCAAGTCACGACTGTCCCCAGCCTCAGTCCTTGGTGTCACCAGTGTCCCCAGCCTCAGCCACTGGTGTCACAAAGTGTCCCCAGCCTCATCAATTGCTGTCACCAGTGTCCCCAGCCTCAGCCACCGGTGTCATGACTGTCCCCAGCCTCAGCCACCGGTGTCACGACTGTCCCCAGGCTCATCCATCAGTGTCACCAGTGTCCCCAGCCTCAGCCACCAGTGTCACGACTGTCCCCAGCCCGGTCCCCGCTGTCACCGCTCCGTCCCGGTGCCAGCCCAGCCCCCGGCCGTGACTCATGTGACGCTGATGTCCCGTGACAGTGACAGTGACAGGGACAGTGACAGGGACAGGGACAGGGACCGAGCAGGGACCGGCGGCGGCTGCTCCGCGTCCCCTCCCCAGCGCGGGGGGGCTCGCACTGACCCCCCCGAGACCCCCCCTTGGCACTGCCACTGTCACCCCCCCTTGGCACGGGGACAGCCCTGCCACTGTCACCTCCCCTTTGCACGCCCCCCCCCAAATTCCCACTGACCCCCCCTTGCCCCCCCCGCGCTGTGGGGGGGGTCTCATCATCATGATCACCATCATCATTGTCATTGTCATCATCTTTGTCATCATCATCTTTGTCATCATTGTTGCTGCCATCGTCATCATCATCATCATCGTCATTGTTGTCATTGTCATCATTTTTGTCATCATCATCATCGTCACCATCATTGTCATTGCTGTCATCTTCATCGTCATCATCATCGTCAGTCGTTGTCATTGCCATCATCGTCATTGCCATCATCATCATCATTGTTGTCAGTCATCATCGTCATCATCTTCATCGTCTTCATCATCTTCATCATCTTCCTCATCTTCATCATCTTCACCATCTTCATCTTCTTCATCATCTTTGTCATCTTCATCATCTTCCTCATCTTCCTCATCTTCATCTTCATCTCCATCTTCTTCATCATCATCATCATCTTCATCGTCACCCTCACCGTCGTCCCCGCTGTCACTGTCCCCGCTGGGGGGGGCCGGGGGGGGGGGGGGGGGTGACACTCCTGTGGTCAGTGGTGTTGACCATTGGGGTGACATTGGGGTGACACTTGGGGACACTGGAGTGACACGTGGTGGGTGACACTCTTGTGGTTGGTGCCATTGACCATGGGGGTGACACTGAGGTGACATTGGGGTGACACTGGGGTGACATTGGGATGACACTGAGGTGACACTCACGTGGTTGGTGCCATTGACCATGGGGGTGACACTGAGGTGACATTGGGGTGACACTCATGTAGTCAGTCCCATTGACCGTGATAGGGGTGACACAGGGGTGACACTGGGTGACACTCATGTGGTCAGTCCTGTTGACCACAGGGGTGACACTGGGGTGATCTGGGGTGATCTGGGGTGACACTGAGGTGACACTCACGTGGTCGGTGCCATTGACCACGCCCAGCTGTGGCCGGGACAGGTCGATGTCAAAGGTGTCCTCCCACGAGGGGACGAGCTGGGGGAGGGGACAGAGGGGACAGAGGGGTCAAGGTCTGTCCCGGGGGTGGTTTGCCGGGGGGGGGGGGGGGCCCCCCCCCCCCCCCGGTACCCCCGGGAAGTCGCCGGGGTCGATCCAGAGGACGCCGAAGCCGGGCCGGTCCCTCCTGGCCTGGGCCACCTCCTTCAGGGTCTCCAGGAACTCGAACCCGTCTGGGGGGGCAGGGGGGATTCAGGGGGGGCTGGGAGCCCCCACCGGGACCCCCCCCCAATTCCTTTCCCAACCCCCCCTCACCGGGATCATCCCCCTTGGCGAAGGCCACGATGGGGGTCCCGTCCAGGGCGTCCTCCTGGGGGGACACGGGGGGGGGTCACGGTGACGGGGTTGTCCCTGAGTGTCTCCGAGTGCCCCCCGGTTTTGGGGGTCCCGGGGGGGGATGACGGGACCCCCCCGCACTCACCCAGCTCCCGGCCATGCTCTGAGCTTTGAGTTTCCGCAGAGTGGCCCTGGGGAGGTTTGGGGGGGGGGGTGAGGGGCGCACCCCCAAATTCCACCCCCCCCTC